TAAATGAATTAACGTGTGTAAAGGACTTAGAAAAGGGTCTGGCACAGAGCCTCTGCATTAACTCTTATTTATCCATGCCTATGTGGATGCAGGTTACTGATAGGTCATTTATTTTATTTTTTTTTAATTTTTTAATGTTTTATTTATTTTTGAGAGAAAGATAGAGACAGCATGAGCAGGGGAGGGTCAGAGAGAGAGGGAGACACAGAATCTGAAACAGGCTCCAGGCTCTGAGCTGTCAGTACACAGCCCGATGCGGGGCTCAAACCCACGAACCATGAGATCATGACCTGAGCCCAAGTGGGACGCTTAACCAACCAAGCCACGCAGGCGCCCCTACTGATAGGTCATTTAGATAATTTGTGGGTGATTTGCTGTATAGTTTTCTTTTTGTGCCATCTTTATTGGCACATGGTATTAAGTTGTGATAGTTTCATAAAACTAATGGGGTATTTCTATATTTTTGTATGGTTTGCTATCGTTTTTAAACTACACATAGGAATTATTTGTTCTTTAAAGATTAGCTATTATTCAGCTTTTGTGGTGCCCTTTTTTTAACTTTTTTTTTGAGAGAGAGAGAGAGAGCTTGTGTCCCTCCCACAAGCACGGGAGAGGGAGAGAGAGAAACCCAAGTAGACTCCACGTTCAGGGCAGAGCCCAGATGTGGGGCTTGATCCCACAACCCTGGGATCATGACCTGAGCCAAAACCAAGAGGCCTGACACTCAACCAACTGAGCCACCCAGGCACCCTGAACTTTTTTAAGAGTCCTCTATCTTAGGTTATCATTATGATTTTTCTTAAGATGATTGACTTGCTCAAGTTTTCTCCTTTTCATGTAGTAGTATCTTCATATAGTTGAAAATGTATTGCCACACAACTTACATATCATATTTTTAGAATATTTAAAATAATTTTATGATTTGATTGTATTTTTCATTCCTGTTTTTTAAGTATATTTCTTTATTTATTTTGAGAGAGAGAGCATGCGAGAGCAAGTGGGGGAGGGGTAGAGAGAAAAAAAGAGACAGCTCATCTGGGGCAGGCTTGGCAGCATCAGTGCAGAGCCCCATGCAGGACTTGAACTCACAAACAATGAGATATGACCTGAGCCAAAATCAAAAGCCAGACACTCAACTGACTAAGCCACCCAGGCGCCCCTCATTCCTAATGTTAAACATATTATTTCTTTTTTTTTAATTTTTAAAAAATATTTATTGATTTTTGAGAGAGAGAGAGTATGAGTGGGGGAGGGTCAGAGAGAGAGGGAGATACAGAATCTGAAACAGGCTCTAGGCTCTGAGCTAGCTGTCAGCACAGAGCCCGATGCAGGGCTTGAACCCACGAACCGTGAGATCATGACCTGAGCTGAAGTTGGACGCTTAACTGACTGAACCAATCAGGCGCCCCTCTTTCTTTCTTTCTTTTTTTTTTTTTAATAATCAACTGTCGATTTTCCATATTTTTTCTTTATTTCATTAATTTCAGAAATTTTAAGTTAATTATCATCTCCTGTTTTCTTTTGATTAATCTTTATTATTTTGGGTGTTTCTTATTTTGTACACGTAAATTATTTTCAGTCCTTTAAACAATTGTAGGACCTTGAAACTTTTAAAGATCATAATTTTCATTGCAATGAACATTTTTAGTATAGCCTTTTTTTTTTTTAATGTTTTTATTTATTTCTACGAGAGAGAGAGAGAGACAGCATGAGCAGGGGAGGGTCAGAGAGAGAGGGAGTCACAGACTGAAACAGGCTCCAGGCTCCGAGCTGGCAGTCAGCACAGAGCCCGACGCGGGGCTCGAACCCACGAACCGCGAGATCATGACCTACGCGAAAGTCGGACAATTAACCGACTAAGCCACCCAGGCGCCCCTTAGTATAGCCTTTTAAATATTTATGATTGTTCCCTTTGTATTAATTCCCAGATGTCAGATGAGTCAATAGAGAAAATATTTGTGGAGGATCTTTGCAACATTTTTGAAACTTTACATAGTTTCTAAAATCCCATCTTATGAAGACCATATATAAGAGTGAACTTAAAGAGTAGAATACTTAAAAAAAATTTTTTTGGGAGAGATTTTGGTTCTTTTTTCTATTTATGTTCTATATCTAGTAGACAAAAATTTTCATATTTATGTTTTCCACTTGAGAAATGCCAGGGCGCCTGGGTGATTCAGTCGGTTAAGGCTCTGACTTCACCCCAGGTCATGATCTCATGGTTGGTGGGTTTGAGCCCTGCATCGGGCTCTGTGTTGGCAGCTCAGAGCCTGGAGCCTGTTTCAGATTCTTTGTCTCCCTCTCTCTTTGACCCTCCCCTGCTCATGCTGTTTCTCCCTTTCTCTCAGAAATAAATAAAACATTAAAAAAATTTTTTTTAATTAGAAAAAAAGAGAGAAATGCCACAGTTGACTTTGGCTAGTGCTATGGAATGTATTCATTTGTTCCAAAATCTACATTGAAACGTACAGATTCAAAAGAGATTAAGTGTATCCATGAGGGAAAATTTCCCTTTTTAATTAAACACATAGTAAAGATGAGTAGATTGTAGTTACCATAATAGTGTGATATCTATAAATGAAGTCGAATGAGAAAATTATAGCTTTTATCTGAAGCAAACAAAATTACATTTGCTGTCAGTTTTGGATTTTCATATTTCATCATAGCTTTTAAGCTACTTTGTTCATTAATAAGTATTTAACAAAGACCAGAAGGTCTGCACCTCTCCATCACATTAATCTCAGTAATTTCTCATTGGTTCATATAGCAAAGGCAAACAGATGTGATGCTATATGATAATACAATACCAATGATATAATTAGCAATTCGACCATGTGTTTGTACTTTACTATCTATTTCTAGTCATGAGTCAACGCTGTAATCACAGAAATATTTTCAGTAGCAGACTTGTTTCCCAGTCCTAAAAGGAGAAAATATGCCTAGGAAATTATTTTCAAAATACAGCACACATTGTGAACTATGATCAGCCCTCAAGATATACATATAAGGGTTTCTGTCTCACTGTTTCCTATGGATATGTATAGGGTCAGAGCCTCTCTCTATTCTTGAACTCAGAGGAACATGAGAGCTACTTAGCACTTCTTGAAGTCAACTGTTCAAGAATGAGCTTAGGCAAGATGATGGAGGAGAACCCCATAATGGTGAGGTTTTAGGCTACTGCAGTTTATGAATCCTGTCCTAGCTACTGACCAATGCCTGTAATTCCAGTAGGAACCTCATTCCATTAACAGCGTTCCCTGTTTTCCTAGGTTATAGTACCACTTTGACAGGCCAAGGGAAGCAATGGGATACGTCCCAGGAAAATGCACCCGAATGGACTCACAGTGTTTTACACCATTGGCAACAAAGGAAATTTATTTTTGACACTCATACAGGAAATAAAGACTATGTTTATGCTTATGCTTCCTTCCATTTTTCGGGCAGATGTTAACAGCCAGTGTTTGAAAATTATGCAAAACTGTTACAAAGATTTGCAAACACATGAAGGTTTCCATACAGACAAGTATGGAAAGATACCCTTTCATCTGTTGGACATGAATTTAACAGCAAAGCAGCTGTGGTTGAGCTTGAATGGGAGTATGAAGTTGTGGAGCGCTATGTGATGAAACGCAAATGCCGTCTTTGACATTCAGTGGTTTCTGTCTTTGGATTAGGCCGCCCAGTGATGGAAACACTCTTGTTCACATAGATCACTAGCACAGTAATAGAATCCGAGGTCCCATCGCACGCTTTTTGAAACAAGGGCAGGCTTGAGGCAGATTTTTCCAGGACTCTTTTGGGTTAATCCGTGCAGCCTCCATTCCTTTGTGAGGTCATTTTTGGCATTGTCTGCATGCTTGATGTCAGCAAGTTAAGGATCATGAACACACATTTAATTTCAAGATCACTGGAGCAGAAATAACCAGCAAAAGAATTCTGTAGGATTCCAGGTGCCTACAGTTTTTTGCCCACAGAAAAACTGAAAACAAAAATCACTCTACTTCAGCCTAAAGAAACATTTTTCCCCCTAGCATTGAAAAGGCAATGCGATTGCCTCTTCCTGTGTCCTGTTCCAGAGGAGCAGTTTGGATGGAAGAAAGGCTTAGCAGCTTTCTTTTTTTTTTTTTAATTTTAAAAAATGTTTTATTTATTTCTGAGAGAGAGAGAGAGCGTGAGCAGGGGAGGGTCAGAGAGAGATACAGAATCTGAAGCAGACTCCAAGCTCTGAGCTAGCTGTCAGCACAGAGCCCGACGCAGGGCTTGAACCCACGGACCATGAGATCATGACCTGAGCTGCAGTTGGACACCTAACCGACTGAGCCACCCGGGTGCCCCTTAGCAGCTTTCTTAACAGAGTATAAGGCTCTGAATGGAAAGAATGACCTCATTGATCTGATCAAAAGTGTCCACCAGTAAGCCATGAACAAACTCATTCATGTCCAATTGTGCCACATGAATATTCCTTTACTTGCAACATATTTGTTTTCCTGTAGGGCTTTCAGGTACTAGAGATCTGTCTTCTAGAAAGCCAGCAAATTTCTGTATACAGGAAAAATATATTGTTTTCTGCTGCCTTTCTTGTTTCAAACAAAGTCCTCAAACAGTGGTGGCTTGAGGTTCTGAAGTGGATGCCTTGCATGAAAATGGGCCACCAGGCTTAACGCAGGAAAGCTGGCAGTTTTCTGTGCTATCTGTGCTTGCCTAGGTGGGAAACCATGAAACACATACATTTCATCGCCCAAGTTGCAGGTATAGATATTCTATTAAGTGCCACAGAACTCCATCTCTACAGAGAATATTCAGATTGTCTTTCTAGTGGAAGTTTGACTTTGCAGATTCTGTTCTAAAGTTATCACTGGTCCCTGCACGTTCACAAGGGGATTATAAAAGACACTCTTTGGTGGTAATAGTGCAACACAAGGAAGAAAACCAAAAACTGATCCCATGAGAGGTCATACCAAAGGCATAACTGACAATGTCTCCATTTTTTTCTTTATTAGGTAGCATCTCTCTATAAAGAAGAACTTTCTTCCATCACTGGGAAATGAGCCTCCACGCCTCCTATAAAGCAAGAGTTGCTGTCCCTTTCTTTTCTCTCCTCTCAGAATTAAGGCCTTGCAATAGTCACCTCCAATAGTGGCAAAAGAAAAAAATTCTTTTTCTTCCCCCCTGTTCTTCTTTTTGATTGGGCATCACAAGGACCAGGGATTTTTATTGATTGACTGTTACAGTCACTTTATAGTCATTATTCCTTCTGATGCTCTGGTCATCCTAAATTTAGCCAGTGTGAGCTCTTTCATTCTGGCTTCTGAGCTCTTTTGAAACATCCCCATTAGACTTTGAGCACTATCTTGCCTCAGGGCAAACAGTACTTTCCAGGCTCCAGACCCGAAATGGCTTCCTTTCTCTAAGAAGCCTTGCTTCCCTTTAGGAGAAAATATTCACAGATCAAGATCTGGGCTCTATAGAAGTCTGCGTAATGGGGTTCTCAATGGGGAAAAATATTTTAGATGTCATAGCCTGGCAACCACAGTAATTATACTTTATCCTTTTATGTACAGTAGCATCTCATGCTGGCAAACACTTTAAAACTGTTTTGAGTGAGGGGCACCTGGGTGGCTCAGTCGGTTGAACGTCTGACTTTGGCTCAGGTCATGATCTCACTGTTTGTGAGTCCAAGCCCATCAGGCTCACTGCTGTCAGCATGGAGTGTGCTTTGAACCCTCTGTTCACCTCGCTCTCTGCCCCTTTCCCACTCACACACACACTCTGTCTCTCTCAAAATAAACATTTAAAAGTTTTAAAAAATTGTTTTGAGTGAAATGATGCTTTAATAAAATATGTAGACATACTTTTTTCTTTCCAAAATGAATCTTAAAGCCAAAGAAAAGGTCATTTTGGAGATGATTTAGGAATCCTACAAAAGTTCTCCAGAGAGCCTCAAGATGTGCCTGGACTTGTGGCGAAGAATCCTCTGTAGATCAGCGTGATTGTCCCGACCTGGTTCTACACTGATATCGCCTGGGAAGCTGTAAAAAAAAAAAAAAAAAAAAAAAAAAAAAAAAAAAATCTCAGTACCGAGTCCCTACCTCAGAACACATTAAACCACGATGCTTAGGGGTATGTCTCAGCGTCGTCATCTTTCTTTTTTTAAATTTTATTTATTTATTTAATTTTCTTAAATAGTTTATTGTCAAGTTGGTTTCCATATAACACCCAGTGCTCATCCCCACAGGTGCCCTCCTCCATGCCCATCGCTCCCCTTCCCCTCTCCCCCACCCCCATCAGCCCTCAGTTTGTTCTCAGCATTCAAGAGTCTCTCATGGTTTGCCCCCCTCCCTCTCCCCAACTATTTTTCCCCTTCTCTCCCCCATGGTCCTCTGTTAAGTTCCTCCTGATCCACCCATACGTGCAAACATATGGTATCTGTCCATCTCTGCCTGACTTACTTCTCTCAGCATAACACCCTCAAGTTCCATCCATGTTGCTACACATGGCCAGATTTCATTCTTTCTCATTGCCATGTGGTATTCCATGGTATAGATAAACCACATCTTCTTGATCCATTTGTCAGTTGATGGACACTTAGGCTCTTTCCATGTTTTGGCTATTGTTGAGAGCGCCGCTATGAACATTGGGGTGCATGTGCCCCTATGCATCAGCACTCCTGTATCCCTCCGGTAAATTCCTAGCAGTGCTATTGCTGGGTCATAGGGGAGTTCTATTGTTAGTTTTTGAGGAACCTCCATACTGTTTTCCAGAGGGGCTGTACCAGTTTACATTCCCACCAACAGTGTAGGAGGGTGCCCGTTTCTCCACATCCTCGCCAGCATCTATAATCTCCTGATTTGTTCATTTTAGCCACTCTGACTGGCCTGAGGTGGTATCTCAGTGTGGTTCTGATTTGTATTTCTCTGATGATGAGGGACACTGAGCATCGTTTCATGTGTCTGTTGGCCATCTGGATGTCCTCTTTGGAGAAGTGTCTGTTCATGTCTTCTGCCCATTTCTTCACTGGATTATTTGTTTTTCAGGTGTGGAGTTTGGTAAGTTCCTTATAGATTTTGGATACTAGCCTTTTATCTGATATGTCATTTGCAACTATCTTTTCCCAATCTGTCAGTTGCCTATTAGTTTTATTGATTGTTTCCTTTGCCGTGCAGAGGCTTTTTATCTTGATGAGGTCCCAGTAGTTCATTTTTGCTCTTGATTCCCTTGCCTTTGGGGATGTGTCAAGTAAGCAATTGCTG